CTATTGCCCGCCCTTCCTTCCTTCCTTCCTTCCTTCCTTCCTTCCTTCCTTCCTTCCTTCCTTCCTTCCTTTACAGTGATTAAAATGCAGTATTGCAAGCTGACTCAGCTCACATCCAGGAAGTTCGATCCTGACCAGTTTGAGGTTGGCTCAGCCTTCCAGCCTTCCAAGGTCAGCAAAAGAAGGACCCAGATTGTTGGGGGCAACAGGCTGATATTGTAAACCATTTAGAGAGGGCTGTGAAAGCACCATGAAGCGGTATATAAGTCTGCTATTGCTGTACTCTATTAAAGCCCATACCAAGAAGTCGCCATAGGCTGCTGTAAGGTCAGATAACAATCTCACCTACATTCTGGAAGAATATTTCTCTTCTTAAACCTGGTCCAGGGTCTTACTGAGATAACACAGAATAACCTGCAGTTGGTTTTGTTCTGTTTTGTTTTGTTCCCTGAATGCTTAAAAAATAAGTTTGTGTGTGGGGGAAAATAATGTTACTCATCTTCATTTGAGAGTTAAAGGAGCAGACAGTACAAATAATAATTCAATAACTATTGATGTGCGTTGCCACAGCACAATTGGAAATGACAGTGACCTTTTAGCTTTCAGTTAATTGAGCACATCTGGCAATAGATTTTGGGCTGAATGAACATTTTGACAGCCGATTACACCTGCAGCAAAAGCGAGATTTCTCTTTTAGTGTCTAATTTAAGAATTTAAGAAAAACACAAAAGCCTTGGGTCTTGTTAAGAGCAGCATCTACAAGTTGGTATCCCGATGCCAGTTCAAGGTAAACACTCATGTGTAACAAAGCAAGGAAGTAAAAGTAGTACGCATGGGCCAAAAAAAGAATTAAAAGGCAGGAAGGAAAAAGAGAAGAAAGTCTAAATACAGGTCGTCCTCGACTTATGGCTATAACTGAGCCCAAAATGTCTGTTGCTAAATGAGATAGTTGTTACCTGAGTTTTGCCCCATTTTATGTCTTTTCTTGCGGCAGTTGTTAAGTGAATTACTGCAGTTGTTAAGTTAGTAACAGGATTATTAAGTGAATCCGGCTTCTCCACTGACTTTGCTGGTCAGAAGTTTGCAAAAACGGATCACACTGCAACCGTCCTAAGTACAAGTCAGTTGCCAACCCTCTGAATGTTGATCACATGACCGTGGGGATGCTGCAACTGTCCTAAGGGTGAAAAATGGCCACAATGCACTTGTTTTCATTGCTACTATAACTCTGAACAGCCACTAAACAAACTGATGTAAATTAAGGACTGCTTGTATACCTGGTTCGCCAGGTTTTAATGGCTAATTTTCACGGGGGATGAGATCCTAGCGGAACATCATTTAAAGTTCAAGGAAATAGATGAATCTGTTTCTGTGGACATGAAATTTTGATAGGTAAAAACCAGAAGGTGTAAATTAGCTTACAACTCTGCTTTTCACTTCTTGAACTAAATAAACTAAAGAAGCACAATAAATATTTCCAAGAACTAAGGCTGCTTTTTCCCCCCCTTTTGCAGAAGTATAAAAGAGAGCCCGCAAACAGAATTATTGCTGATTTTTTTCACCTTTCGATTTTTGACCAAATGGACTCTTAAAATGTGCAGGTGGCCTTTTAGTAGATTAATGAATAATTTTATAGAGGTCGATAAAGAGATTCCATTTAACCATATTACGCCTGAAATCATAGTTCTCTTTCCAAAGCCAGAAACAACAATGCCCAGGGTTGTGTTTTGCGTTCCTTCTTTAATTACAGCTTGATTCGTGTAATGTGCATTTTAATGTGTATTTTTACAAGATGTTCTAAATAAGATAAAACGAATGAGGCTGAATCCTGTTTTCACTTATTGATCCCTCAAAATGCAAGATCAGGCAGACTTTTCCTGATGGAAGACTTCTGGGGGGGGGGATTTATTGTCTTAATTATCTTTAGATAGCAACCTTAAACACATTTGGGAAGATAAAAACAGCTTTGGCAAAAACACAGATTTTACTTCAATTCTTCTTAAACTATAACAATTGACTTAAATGGTGCATTAAGGGACAATTTTTATCTGTTTGTTTATTTGTTGGTTGCCTCGAATGCTGAAAACTGAACAGAAATGAGAGAAACTCCGTGGATCATCCTTCAGTTCTCTTGATGTTTTAATTACTTTTTCCCTCCTTCTGATCTGGCTGGAAAGGATCAACTATATACTGTAGCAGCCAGTTTTTCTGATAAAACTGGGATCTAAACTCAGATAGACTTTGAGAAACTCTCCCTATTTAATCATAAAATGAAACCAGCATCAACCCAGATAAGCACAGAATCCTGGAAGAGGATCTGATTAACTTCTCTCTCTCTCTCTCTCTCTCTCTCTCTCTCTCTCTCTCTCTCTCTCTCTCTCTCTCTCTCTCTCTCTCTCTCTCTCTCTCTCCCTCCCTCCCTCCTTCCCTCTCCCTCTCTCTCTCACCCTCTCTCTCTCTGTGTCTTCCTCTCTCCTTCCTCTCTCTCTGTCTCTGCTGTCTCCCGCCTCTCTCCTCCCTCTCTCCCTCTCTTCTGTCTCCCTCCCTCCTCTCTCCTCTCCCTCCTCTTTCCACTCTCTCTCCTCTCTCTCTGTCTTCCTCTCCTTCCTCTCTCTCTGTCTCTGCTGTCTCTCTCCCTCCTCTCTCCTCCCTCTCTCCCTCTCTTCTGTCTCTCCCTCTCTCTCCTCTCTCTCTTCTCCCTCCCTCCCTCCTCTCTCCTCTCCCTCCTCTTTCTCTCTTCTCTCGCTCTCTGTCTCCCTCTCTCCTCTCTCCCTCTCTTCTAGAAAAAAAGAGAGGATTAGTTCCCCTCCTTGTAATTATCCTATTCTGTACAAAACATTTTAATTCACTTAGCACTTGAGGTCAGAGAGGCACAAACTGACTTTGCAGGAGCTGTTAGGTCACCTTTTCAGTTCAAACAAACAAATGTCTGCTAAGCACATCCTGGGACTGCAGAGAACCAGCATAAATAGAAAACAGTTTTATGGCTTCAGTTTCAAGATGTGAAAACACCTTAGTCAGACTGGCGTGCCATTTTTAGCTGAAAATAGATGCACAGACCTTGAAGAGCGTATCTAGTTCTTGCAAACCTTGGAAAGCATGGTACAAAACAAGACTTCAACACCATGATCACCATCTCTTTAGTACAAATTCTAAGTCTAGTTTTCTTTCCCTCTTTTCAACCCCAAACTAAACTCTCTTTTTGCACTCTGCCTACACACACACACATTAATCTCATGCTACCCTCTGTCTTATCTAGTTTTTGCCCAGTCTTTCACCTATGCACAATGTGGACTAGAATGCTACCTCAGTCAATCTTTACAAATACATCTATATGTAAACCACATGTTGCATCTTATACCTAGCATAATCTTACCATGTTGACTGGAGCCCCTGTTCTCCAACTCTAGCCCTAACTTAAATTATTATTTAAGGACTGGAATTAAGTCCCAACCTTTGCAAAGCTGAAGTATAGTCCTAGCCTATTTCTTCTACCTAATCAAAAGGATTTATTAACACAAGAACTATCAATATATCTCAGATCCTGCACCCCTTTTTAGATGCATCATGCAGGCAATTTGCCCTTTTAAATCAAAGGTTTTTTGCTATTTTGCATCGACTGCATTCTTATTATATTCTTATAGTTAATATTATTCAGGCCTAAGTTTAAAATATCACAAACAAAGTTATTCTTAGTAATGAGATGAAGATTTATCAACTTATAGCAAGCGATAACTCCCAGCTGGCCCTGCATGATATTATTAAAAAGCTAAGTTAGATTTGGTTAATATTTGGAAAATCCTCAAACTATAGGTTAAATTCAGAAGTTGAAAAACACAGCTTAAAATATGGTTATGGCAAGCTACTTGTGAATTTTTGCCAAGAAACCAACGTGCCTATGTCATTACCCCAATACCAAGAGTTGAACTCAAGTCAAACTTAACTTTTATAAATTATTTATTGCTGTTCAGTCTTGATAAATTAACTACTATCAGAATATTTTTGAAGTTTTCTATGAAGTTTAGATTTTAGAAGAGTCTCTTTCTACTAACATGCCTTTTAAGGCAAAGGCAGAATTGTTTAGCCATTCTTAAGAAGTTAATAGTTGCCAATTTCACTTTCTGAAGACATTACACAGATGAATAAAATAAAGGAGAGGAAGATAAGAAGAAAATTTTTGGCAGATTCTGAGCGTGTGCAACTTCTAAGGAAATCGGCTGGGGAGAAACACTGTGTGAGCAATCTGAATAATTTCAGTTTTCTTGCAATCTAGAGAATTAAATCAGAGAGCTACAGTTTTAATTTTTAGCAGATTTAACCAAAAAAAAAAAAAAAACAAGAAATTACGAGGCTCATAAGCTCAACTTCCTCTACAGGGAAGTTTTGTTTACACATTTGGTGCTCCTTTACCAAGAAATAAACTGAACAGACTGCAAGGCAAATACGGATATATTAAAAACATTTTATCATTTGTTCCCAGGAACACAAATTTCAACCAATACTCGGGTGGCTTGGTATATTGACTGACTTCTCAACCAGTCAACCTCCTCTGGTTCTGAAATGACAAATCAACAGAACACCCCCAAAATAGTCTTCCAGAAACCTATTTGTGTGTAAATACAACCCTGTAACTTTAATTGCATTAATCATGGCATCAGAAAAGTTCCAGTTTGACGAAGCCACCATCCCCATGCAAAGGAGAAAACCTGTTTAAGACAGATGCTAAATTTCTGACTCTGGTGATGTGATTTATTAGAGAGATGCATTTCTGCCTCCATCCTGCAAAAAAGGGTAGCATTGGGGAAGCTGCGGTGACTGAACCGGAGAAATAAAAACAAAAACTGTGATTTACAATCCATGCAACCCTGAACTGCAGTGGCTGCTTGCCACAAGTGTGTTAGCTGCACGTTTCATTCTCTGTACACAAATGTACTTGCGGAGCTCAGCCAGCCTCAGCCAGCACTCTCTGCCAAGGGAACAATTCAAAGTCACTGCTTTACCTTCGGAGAAGTCTATCAGCCCAAGCAGATGCAGCAGCTTCAGAGACGCAACGATAATCACCACTATGCCCACCGTCTGCAGACCCTCTGATTCCCATTCCAAAGACAGCATCGTCCGAGACAGCCTTTCATGCCAATCAGCTGCCAAGCCACCAAAGCAAAGTTTACGTCCCTGTCACTGGGGTTTTGCCTCCCATGCAAAAAAAAAAAAAAAAAAAAAAGTTGTCAGCACAGCCAGAACGGCGAAGGAAATTGAAGTGACCAGGTGGGTGTTAACTGAAATTCCTGCTCTCCTGCATCTTGATGCTTTGGGATGCTGATTGTGGCCTGGTCCCCAGAAGAAAAAGGCATCCGACACCACCAGCCTTCTTACTCCTCTGCTGCTAGGTGGGCATCCGTTCCGGATTTCCAGACTTTGCAGTGTTTGTTTGGAAAGAAGCAAGCCTGTGCTCAAAGGAAGAGGCACAAGAGAGCACGCTGAACGCCCGCCGTCTCAGTGCCAGCTCCAGTGTGCTACAGCTCCGCTCTCAGCCGAAAAGAACAGCACTCTGAAGCTTGTCAAATATCAGATTAATCATCAGATGCATTTGCATCTTTATCATGAGTGGCTTTAATTTGCGGGATTTGGATCAACGCCAGGGGTGGGTGCTTTTCCCTCTTCTCATGAGGGACCCCCTCCTGTCTCTTGGCAAAGGCCATCTCCAGGGTGACCATGAGGTTCCCGTCTCTGGTCACTCCAGAAAGGAGATGGCAAAAGATTTAAAGGGTTGGTTGCATCCAAGAAAATAAAAACCGTGGCTTGTATTGTGAAGTTAGATATCTTACCTAAAAAGGGAAAAGAAAATGGGAAAAGGGCAAAACCCAAAGGTGCTTTTTTCCAAGAGGCAACTGGACTTCCTCTGTTTTTCCTTGAAGGTGTTTCGTTTCTCATCCAAGCAGCTTCTCCAGTTCTGACCTGAATGGTGGGGAATGGAAGGATTTATATTCTTTGCAGTCATCTGGTCATTAATATCCTCTCTGAGAGTCATTAGTACTCTCTCTGAGAGTCACTTTTTTCCGTAACAAATCCTTCTCAAAGTTCCATCCTATACTTCACAACTGTACAGTTCTGGACCTTGCAGGTTTATAAATGATGGAAGGAGTATAAATCCTTCCGTTCCCCACCCTCCAGTCAGAGCTGAAGAAGCTTCTGGGATGAGAAGCAAAACGTCTTCAAAGAAAAACAAGAAAGTCCAGTGGCCTCCTGAAAAAGCACCTTTGGGACAACCTGGGACCGTGGATGGTGAAGAATCTCCAGAGGAGAAAAGAGCAAAAGTTAGTCCAATCCAAGAAGCAAAGCAAATTTGATAAAGAGGTTTGCTAGCACTTTACTGAAGAAGCCTCAATCTCCCTGAAAGAAGTTGAAGTTTTGAGGCAAATCCAGATTGACCGCAGATTTTCTTGCGTCTCCAATTGCTGTTTTGCCTGCATAAAATGCACAACGGGATCCTCCTTCTGGAAAGGCGCAAATAAGCTTGCAAGTTGACCAACAGGTTTTATAATATTGGAAATAGGGTGAGACTCAATATAAAACCCATGCGTTTTTTTTTTCAATTAAAGCTAGGAACTGAGTCATCAAATGGACACAATTCCTTTTTTAAAGGGACAGAACAATGCAAATTGCAAGAATCTGGGAAGAGATTAACTGCACAAGAACAGGATGACAATCTTACCCTGTGCTAAAATTAGAATACTTCATTTTCTAATGGGGATTATAAATGGCCATGTTCACATATTTAAACGTGAATGAAAAACCGGTTGCATTGGCACACAAGCACACTTAGTAAATGGTGACAATCCAACCCAAATCCAGGTATGGAAAAGGAATTGTCAAGATTAAATATGCTGAGTGAGCCCAATTCATAAGTGTTTCTTGTGGGAATTTCTAAAGAAGATGATGTTAAAAGCACAGTTGTGAACAATTGTGATATGGAGAAAAATATGGAAGACGGCAAGCCAAGCCAGTGGTGATGGCAAAAAAGCTAAGAGAAAGAGGGAAACCGAAGGAGGACCCACACAAGAAATGGAAAGAGGACCGAGTCACAAAAGAAGAATACAATTGCAAGGTCCAGAACTGTACAGTTGTGAAGTATAGGATGAAACTTTGAGACGGATTTGTTACGAAAAAAGTCTTTACAGTTTAGGAACAATTTAACAGTGGATCTAGCAATAAACATTTCCTTTTCATTAGACCTTTTGATGTGAAGATTAGACAGTCTTCTCCCTCCTAACTATCATCCGGATTCTTGTAGCAGGACAAGAGTTGGGATTTTATAATCACCCCGTGTCCTCCCAGCTCAAGGATTTGATGATTCTGTTTCAGGCTGTCCGGGATCTTTTCACCCCCAAAGCTACATACTTTACATGTCTACTCCAAAAGGATCTCACATCTTCAATGGGATTCAGGATTACATCAGTGCAAATGTGATTGTGACTCTACTCCCATTGAAATCATTCACCAGCTTAATAACCTCCAACTTGACTTGCTTTGAGTCTAAGATATGAACACAGCACTGAGTGTCACTCCAACAGGTCCTGTGGGTGGAGGTGTCAACCACCCCCATCACATCTGCTGTAGGCAGCACAACACTTTTGTGTAGCCCTGGTTACAAAGGATTATTTGCATTTTTTTTTAATATTGCCACTTCCACCCAACTCCCTCCCCTGATTTATTTGATTGTCATTTAGCTTCCTGTTGTATTTGTTACTGAACAAAAGCCATAAGAAACGAAACCCAGGCAAGGCTGTTTAAAAGAATAACGGAAGGGACCTTGGAGGTCCTCTAGTCCAACCCCCTGTTCAAGCAGGAGACCCCATACCATTTTAGACAAATGGTTGTCTGAAAACTTCCACTGTTGGAGGAGTCACAACTTCTGGAGGCAAGTCGTTCCCCTGGTTAATTGTTCTCACTGTTGGGAAGTTTCTCCTTAATTCCAGGTTGTTTTTCCCCTTGACTGGTCATCCGTTGCTTCTTGTCCCGCCTTCAGGAGCTGTGGAGGGCAGGGTGATCCCCAGAGACCAGGCAAGGTCTTATTACCCACCTTTCCTTGTGTTTTAAGGCCAGCCTTCTGGTGGTGCCTGATCTCTGTCTGTTTGTTTGGCACCGCCTAACAGCAGTTTTGGTTGGTTGTTTTCGCATGGCATCTTTTAAAATAGCAACATTTGTTTTTATGTCTATGACCAGCCTCAATTTATCATGATTCGTGTACTTTCTGCTTCTGACCATCAGTTTCCAATGCTGGGAAAGGATCGAGAAGATGAAGAAGACCAGAGGCAAAGGAGATGGACTCAGTTGCAATTGGGATGGGGACACTCACTCGAAGACTTGCGGACCAGGGTGGGGACAGACCATCCTGGAGAAAAACTAGCGGAAGCCATCATGCAGGCAAAGAATTCTTCCTCCCATATTTGGACCGACAGAGTGCATCAAAAAACGTTCAAGACATAGTTTCTTCTCTCCCTGATACAGCTGACAAACTGAGAAAGAGACTGTGGCCTAAGGGTCAACACAGCTGCCTAACGTGCAAGCAGCCCCGGTTCGAATCTCAGAAGGATAGGGCTGGCTGATGAGAGCTAATTAGCTTGAAATAGCTATCCCAGTCCCCTTTTAACTCTTTGTTAGCAATCCTATATATATATATATGTGTGTGTGTGTGTGTGTGTGTGTGTGTGTGTGTGTGTGTGTATGTTTTCGTAGATTTTCATGGGTATAGGTATTCGGGTCTTTTCCTGTGTAAGATTGAGAGTATCTTGGCGACATTTCGACGAGGTCCCACTCGTCATCTTCAGGCTGGGGACTGTGGCTTCGTGCTTGTGCGAGCAAAGTGTGATCGGAGCTGCTGTCTCTCTATATATATTGGTGGGGGGGTGTGGAGTGCTGGCTTAGTTGCTGTAGGTGGATTGGTTGGCTGTGTAGGAGCTATTGTTTGTGGATTGTTTGGCTGTTTCGTAATATCCTGAGTAGTTGAGATGCTGACTGTGACTAATGGGCACACACACATATATATATATGCTTCCATTTTAAGTTTTGTAAGCCACCCAGCAATATTTTACAAAGATGCATGACTATATAAATTTATTAAATATATGAATATTTTCCACTTCTTTTTTTCGAGAAGAAAAAAACCCGCTGACTCTCCAGTCTGAATCCTAACACTTGCTCTAATTGGAAGCAAAGAGTTGCTTTTTAAACGGACATAATCCATTATGTCCTATTCAGCTAAAGCAAACCAAATGTACGCTGACCTACTTTCCTTTATTTGGAACCTCATTAACTGGATCTCCAAAAGGCAAGTGTGTTGATGCTCACTTACCCACTCCGTCTGTGCAAGCCCACGTTCCTAGAAAAGGAGAAATAAGTTTCCCCACAGTTCCTCCTCTCCAGCTTTGCAAAGAAAACAGGAAGACTTTAAGGGAAGACACAAACAGCTGCTCTGGGGAAGCTTAAATTTAGACCAGTGTTTCTCAACCTTGACCATTTTAAGGCATGTGGACTTCAACTCCCAGAATTCCACAGCCAGCAGTGCTGGCTGTGGACTTCTGGGAGTTGAAGTCCACATGCCTTAAAATGGTCAAGGTTGAGAAACACTGATTTAGACCCTAGTGAAACAAGGTTTCTGTAGAGGGAGAGAGTTAAATTCCTCAATTATTTTCCTAGGGACTTAAAAAAAAAAAAAACAAGCTGGGGAAGTTTCACAAAGCCATTCAATAGCCAGGAAAACATCTTTTTCCCAGAGGTGGGGAAAAAACCCTTACAAAATTTTGATGATCCTGCAGAAGAACAGAATCCCACAAGAGTGTTACATTCTCATACTAAATTTCACAGTGTAAAAGAAGGAGTGGCAGAGCCCAGAGGCAGAGTCAAAAGAGTCTCTATGTTGCCACAAGGACAATAACTCCAATCCCTGTTGAATTCCATTAACCCTTATTTAGCACCAAAATAGTGCTAACCATTAACTGACTAGATTTCTATGCATAGGCACTAGCAATAAATCACTTTAATTGGAACCTAATATACGTCCTGGTCTTTCGTGCCTTACACCCAGGTGTATCACTGGACATCCATGTAGAGAAGATCTGAAGAAGATCTGAAATTCTTCAATTTGCAGAGAGAGCCATTACAAATAGAGAAAATGGTCCATATAGACCTTTATTTTTTAAATATGAAAGAGGGACTTCTGCATCACCCATTTTTCTTTGGAACATGAGTAAATGAGTATTCTCACATTCAAGTACCCCCAAAGAGATACTTTTTTCCATTAATGTGATATTTAGCATTGAAAATTTCAGAGCTCAGGTATTAATTCCCTGGATTAACATGAAGTCTTGTTTGTGCATGAATTTGTCCATGTAGGAGGGATTTTTTCTTTTGACAACCTGGAAGTGACTCAGAATTTCCTTCTTCTAGAACTTCCGTTTTGTGCTGGTTTCCCATCCAGGTTTGTTCTCAGGTTCTGCAACATGTCCAGGATTCATCGGAGGATCATTCACTTTGGATTTTCTGCCAATGAGGTCCATTTAGGCTAAAAATTAGGAATGGATGAATCACCCGGATTCAATTCAGTTTGAGAAGTTGATTCAGACTAAAATCATTGCTTTGCTTTGTCAAATCAACTCAAATTCTTGATTTGGTTAAGAAGAAAGTAGATGTGCAAATATGTATATATGTATTATTTCAATTTAAATATTCATCAAATCAAAATGGGTCAATAGCAACCAACTCAGATGGATGGCCACTGAAGTCCACAATTTTGTTCAAATAACTGATTCACCGGGGCTGACTTTGAATTAAATCTTTGCACAGGCTGACTTATTCTTCGTTTCCCCAGTAATTTTCATACTCAGTATTCCCCTCTGTGTTTACCCGGTTCCCA